CTTTCAGTCCCATAATTCAGGTTTTTGTGTCGCATCCTGGTCCTTGAGAAAGCCAGTTCCTGTTGGCACAAAGTTTATCCCATATTTCCAAGTCAGTTTTTCGTCACTGATGATATTTTACAGCTTCTGAAGGCTGCAGCCATGACAGAAATAGCACACAGGTGACCCTGAGACTCAGGGTCACCTGTGTGCTACAGGTGAGGTTGACACTGAGCAATACGCTGATCGAGCTGCAGCWGAAACATCACAGACCTTCAAAATAAAATAAAATAAAATAAGATGTCTGAGAGGAGAGAAGTGCTGAGGAGACAAAGACCACCCCATGAATCACTGGGGGATCAGAGGTGCAGTCTGGAGACTTCTGTTTGTTTTTACCTCCATGAACACCTCAGGGCTCCTGCCTGGGGACCTTTTTAATTAGCGTACGTTTGGGGGAGCTCATTCTCCCCCCCAGGAGGGAGAAGCTGGCAGACATGAGTCTGTGGTGATGTTAGCTCAGAGCCTCTCCCTGACGGACTGCAGCACCAACACAGCTGCCTGTTTGAGTCAGGAYGCCTCGCGGCGTTTTACAGCCAAGAATAAAACAAAATAAAGATCCAGTCACGCCGTCTGCACTGGAACCAGACCAGTCGGTGTGACGGGACACAATACAGGAACAAGTTCAACTCTGTCGTAGGTTTGTTTTAAGGCCTGCTTCTTCCCATCCGGGTGGTTCTTGTCAGGGCAGCTCAGCCTCTTCTTACATAAAGTAAAGCTGGACAGATTTTCATTCAGCTCGTCTATAAATAGACTGAGCTAATGACTTTTAAAGGTGCACAACAGCAACACACAAGGCTTACATGTGACAAACAGGCTGTGTTACATGTCCAATTATACCTGATTAGTCCTTTATTTCTGCTGATTGGGAAAGAAAAGGGCCTTTTGGGGTCACAGCTCACCACAGCCTGGTTTGACACAAATGATCACACTGGTGACTGCTGATGTTAGCTGTTATTTTAAACTGTTTCATGAATTTTAAAATCACTGGTTTATAATACAGGATAACATTAAAACCAACAACAGTGTCTCTGGATGTTTTTATTCAGCACAGCAGCAAACTGAGTGTCTGCATGAAGACATGAAATGAAGCCTGAACCACAGACAGGACGAGTAAAGGCCTTTTTATTTCATTTAAAACGTTTAATGAGCTTCAGTTTTTATTAAAGCTAACAATGAGCTCCAGATGAATCCTGTGTGACACAAGCTCCTGATCAACCTGAGGGAAATTATCTCAACACACTGACACACTTGTGTGAAACACTCTTTAACAAACACAACAAACCCGTCTTTCACTGCTTCATTAAGTAAAAAAATAACCAGTTTGTCATTAGCCTGGAAGCTAGCCGACAGCTAGCTTGTCAGCAACAATAACCGATGTATTTTAGGCCCACATTGCTAACAAAGCTAACTTAGCGTTAAAGCTACGTTAGCCATTAGCACACTTTTAAAAACTTGAATTTCGGACAAAAACATAAATAAAATAAGACTCACTTTTTGTCTGAGTCGAGTAAAACTCCCGTGTAGTTCCGTTCCCGGTAGGTGAGCGTCACCACCAGCGTGTCGTTAACGACATGATCGATAGTGACAGGTATCCGAAAGCCGGCCCGCAGCTCCTCGGCCGCAGCCTCCATGTTTCCCGGGACGGCGTGTCCGGCTGCGCGGTACTCGATCCCGGCGAAGGGAGCCACGGTCGCGTCGGCCAARGATCCGTCTCCCCCCGCGCTATTTGGAGCAGGAGGCTACAGCAAGGCAGAAAAATGACGCCATCACCCCCACCGAGTCAGTTACAACCGAACTGCCACCGCTGACATCACGCTCCCTGCTCCGGAGGCACAAGGCCTCCCTTCCCTGTGCTGCAACATGGCATCCATGACTCTATACGTGTTACTGGTTTTAATGGTTTTATACAGGTTACTGGTTTTAATGGTTTTATACAGGTTACTGGTTTTAATGGTTTTATACATGTCACTGAAACTGGTTTTAATGGTTTTATACAGGTTACTGGTTTTAATGGTTTTATACAGGTTACTGGTTTTAATGGTTTTATACATGTTACACAAACTGGTTTTAAT